TGAGAGAATCGTAATTCGGCCGCGCCAGTGGGCGTCGCGTGCGACGTCGCGCCCGCTAATGACGACGATTTCAGGTGGTATTGGTCGAGAATAGACAATGTATGACCAAAAATAGACATAAGTGTCTACCATGTCTTGTCTACATGAAATCGATGCTCCAATCGAAAGGGTAGTGCAAATCAGGAAACGTCGCGCCCATTGCCGTGCGCGACGAAGCGGCATTTTACGACTCTCTTGCCCGTCATCCCTCGAACTGCACACAAAGAAAGTGAAGAATATCTCGGAAAGTCGAGTCCACAGGGGGCAAAAAAAAGACACTTTTCTTGCTCTACTTCAAGGCGATATAAGCTGCTTTCTACTGAAGTCTTCCTATACGATTTCGCCATCAACTTCAACAAAACATTGCACGCGATAACAAAATTTCCGCTACAGCCTACTGGATGAACGCCGTGGAGAGATTTTGCCGCGCGACACGATTTGGTGTGAGGGTGGTCTCCTCGATTACCCGAGTTTAGCGAGGTCGTTGATTTCTTCGCCGTGTAGACCACCCTGTTGAGCTCCTCCAGAGACCGGCTTATCGAAGAGGTCAGCTCAGGTGACACACTGGTATATTCCGTCTTCTTCAAGTATCAGCGCCCTTAGATTCCAAGTAGGCAAGTTTTCGATTCCATGTGCTGGCACCCTGCTGCAGTACGAAGTTTCCAAGACGGTACAGGCGACGACATGAAGGCAGGATATTCTCCTCGAGCTGTTCGATGTAACCGTCAGCGTTCACTTTCAGTCCGGGTCCACGAAGAAAATATCGGTCTTCCCATTCCAGGAACTTCCGGTCCATACCATCAACCCGCGCCTTGGCGACTGCGGTGAAGATGATATCCTGGACCGTAGCGACGTTGTCGGAGCTGCTCGATGTTGGAGGTCTTCCAGATCAAGAGTGCTGGTCTCCAGGTAGCTGTCCATGGTATAAGTTTTGCAGCTGTTTGGAGGTGACTTGAATTCTATAGGCCTTCTCCAGTCCGGCTGCCCATAGGTATTCTTCAGTCTCGGCTTATTGGGATGGCTTATGTTTGATGTACGGATGAACCCGTGATGGGCGAGGGCCTCTCCTGCTCATCGAGGATCATCTACGATATTCGCGTCCTCGGTACTCGTATCCATGGCCTCCCTCTTGGCTGCGTAAAATTGACTGATATGTGACTCGGTCAAAATGTCTTTTTTGGCCCCTATATTGACTGTACAAATGAGCCTCATTAACTAATACTTCCTGTTTAATAAGGAAGAGATTGCTTTGCAAATTTGAAGAAGAAGTTAGTGTTCAGCTTGAACCACTCTCTATGATACAATGAAGTTTTCGAGCGATCACAAAGGAGCTACCGGAACGCAAGATTCCTTCATGACGCTTTCGGTGGAGATGAATCGATGGTCCGTCCACACATATGTTTTATGTAGCTTCCCACTCATGGGACCACTGTTACTTCACTCTCTTCAGGTTGAGAAACTGGACGAGCTGATTACTGCCAAGGCGGGCTTCCATCACAAGTTCTCCATAACTGGACAGACCTATTCAAGGCAACAGGTACCTAGCTTTCTGTAGTTACTGCGAGAAACCATCAGTATAAACAATGCAGTTAAGGACGTGCAGTTGATTTTCGCTCTGGCTGCAATTGGTGCAGCGGTGAAGAAGATTTGTACCGACATTCGTGTTCTGCAAGCTATGGGTGAACTTTACTCGAAAACCTTTGAGAAGGTGCGTTTGGTAGACTAGCTGTTACTTTTAAAAACAAATCGCACAAAATCGGGGACCAACGATTGCGACACAGAGCCGTGAAGGCGCGAACTAGGTTTCAGGATTCTGCTGGCACGACAGTCAAACCCGTTTAAGACTTTAGATGTGTTCGTATGCATGTAAGGGCAGCGAAATTATCAATACCCAGCCGTTCAACATTAGAATTTTTCAGACTAGCATAGGACCTTTCCGGCGTAGTTCGGCCTTGGTGCGTGGCACCGCAATGGTACCTATTGGCTTGTAGAAACCTTCTTATCAGGAACTGGCAAGTCACTCAGACCAAGTATAGGAGGGACTTGCACCCATTTTTCATAGCAGATCTGCAGTCTCCACCAAAAATGAGAACTGTTCGTTCGACATGAGACTAACAAAGGGAGATGACAGTCAGCGAGCAATGCCTCCCTCCGAACCGAACCGAACAGCGCCGATTTTTCTTCCAACTCTACTTGTTCTTTTTGAAGAACTGCGATTCTTTTAGGATCAGATAGGGTCCCTTCCGCTATGCCTTAACAGGAAAACGAATCCCATGAAAGCGAACGCATTGCTGATTCGCTAGCCACGGAACTTATACATGCTCCGCAGCTTTGCTCAATTCTCATAGCAATTATTCTCTCTTTCTCTTCCTTAGCAGCTCCGCCGCCACAGCCTCCATACTTTTAGGAGGACACTGAAGTTAATATGAGCATCAGGCCATAGAACGAACTTTGGAGGCGATGCAGCCAACCGCGAACATGCTCATACCGATTCAATTACTACTAACGGAGGCTATGCTGAGTCAACGACTACAGGGGAAACGGTTCAGAGCCAAACAATCAGGGTATTTGTCTAAAGTTTAGGTCAACGTTGTTTCCACACTTGTTACTGAACGTGTGTGCTTGATGAGTTAGGAACAACGATGAGGAATGAATTTGTGAATCCAAGCTTGAAAAAGATTTTTCCGCGAAGCTTGGTACCCTGAGGTTTTGCTTGAGTTATTCACGTACACCAAGCGACCAGCCTTTCGTTCGTTTATTGAATAAATGAAAGCAAAGAGCCTTCACTGCCCGGTTCTCTGTGTACTACTTCCCGCAGCGGTTGTACTGCTAGTTTGCGAGTTGTACTATAATTAAACTGAATTTAATTGAATTCAATTTTTTCCCGGAATAGCTTGAAAGAAATAATATCAAAGTGAATGTATTGATTATTCTTTTCAGAACATCTTCGAGGGACTTACTGTGCAGACAGAAAACGTTGCGCGAATTGTGCGTGAAGAACTACCATTCCTTGGGCTGGAAAAAGCGATGATGTGGCTGACAGAAGAAGGTGTCGACAGGCAGAAGGTGAACGTTTCTTCTATATCGGTTGTTTTATTTGCTGTTTTCAACGGAAGGCTTTCGTATGGTGCGGCAGCTTTTACGCTGGTTGCATAGACGATACGAACCACACCGACGTGATGCATTGCATCATCTACCCCGGATAACTCGTCCACACCACTCGAATTCTCAGTTAGTGGCTTGAGGAATCTTTCTATTAGGTTGGCGGGAAAGTTCTGTCACTTTTTTCAAATTGGGCTTTCTTTTTATAGAGAGGCGTGTAAGATCAAAATTGTACAGCAATGTTACTGCGGGGTCCTTGCCTGTTTTTGAGCACCTCATGGATGCCATCGCTTCACAATGCAGGGAGGCGCGATACAAAGTTGGACATCATCTCAATCTTGGCTTGAACTCAGACTTTTCGAGGTTTTCTCGTAATTTCTCGTCCAGTAATGATTGATTACGGGAGGCAACTCGCAGTTAGAAGGAGCAATGTCTGTGCTACACCACTGCAAGGGGAGCCATCCAGCTCTATTGCATGAGGAACGGCTAGAACTTTTTTGGAAGTGCGCTGCACTATCAGAAGCATTTGGAGGGGTCGGTGGCGATGGTAGCGGATAACATTCTTGTCCATATTGCAGAAGAAGAAGCAGGAATCAAGCGAGTGGTACTAATAGAAAGACCACTCTTTGATGTATAAGTGCTCACATTACCGTTCACCCCTCTTCAGGTAATGGGCAAATATTTTGAGTTCGAAAAAGTGACAGAACTTTCCCGCCAACCTAATAAAAGCCCCTATTAAAACCATTCCTTTACTGTTTTCAGTATTGGAAAAGAGGCGAAGAGCCCACCGTCACTGAGTCAATGAGGCTATTCCACTAAAACGGACCTGCATTCGAGTCAAGAGATACCGCTGCCAAAGGATGAGAGAACAGAATGCTAAGCGAGGGTTCAGACACGGTCTCACTTAGATACGAAAGTAATGCCCTCACCATCACCTTCACGTGGATCGGGTTGGCAACTGGTGAGTGAGGTCGTAGTAGCGAACGGCAGCTTCACTGCCGTCAGTCTTCACCTTTGAGCCT